TGATTGTTGTTAAATTAATTGTACCAACTACAACATTGCTGATTTGTGTAATTGCTGCAAAAGGTAAATATACTATTTATATAGGTATAAATATTATATTTTATAGAATATCTAAAAGCATTTCTCAGTTTATTTTTGTTTCATTTTTATAATGTCTCAATAATTTAAAATAAAAAGGTTATTTGACTCGTAATTAGTTTAATAAATATTTAAAGACCCATTGAATACGTGAAAACATTTATCGATTACATTGCAATAACCTTTCACCGTTTGGCGTAAAACACATAAAATTACCATATTTAGTCCATTGAATTTGTAACTTCGCACAATCACTTATTCGCCCTTACCTATACGAAAACCAAGCAAAGGAACCTTGCTTAGCAATGATCTAAGCAAAATACATCAGGGATATAGGGACTATGGCAGAAATAAACAATTGTAGCTCTCCATAAATATAATGAGTGAATAGTATGAATAAAAAGCTTTAATATTAAAATCAAATAATGCTTCATCAGTGAGCAGGTCATATAAAAATTGGTGGCCTAAGTTGATTTGTTTATATTATCTATATAGAAAATAAAAATTAGGAAAATATAATACACTACTATGATAAAACAATGCAATTAAACAAAATTTTCATTTTTATCGAAAGTTTGAAATAGTGGATTGCCTGAACATTGATGAAAATACGCTCTATAGGTAGTAGCGAAAAAGTAAAAGGTGCTTGCATAATTCGTCAGTTCTGTTAAGGCCTGGGTAGCTGTCGCCCGAATTGCGAAAGATCGTGGTTTCGAAACCCCTAGTATTTGATATTACAAAGAAATAATAACAAAAAAAAATAGGAGATGTACTTTTAGAGGTGCACTAAGCTTAGTACAATGAGCGCTTACTGGGATACCGAACACAATTTCGACGCTCTTTTGATTCTGTTGTAACATCGAACACATCTATTGGTATATTAGTACGTTTTTTTCTATTTTATTCTTGAATGATGGAAGGATGTATTGTTTTGTTACTCAAATATGTGCGAGTTTATGTCTTCGGAATTCGGTGTAATATTCAGAATTGATATGTAGTACAAAGTAATTTCCCATGAAGTAAAAATAATCACTCAAGATTTCATGTCACATAACAATTTGACAAAACTTTTTGTAAGATCTCGCAAAGCAGAACACTTCTTGTACTCATACATCTTATCCGTAGGACAACCAGTGAATGTGTTATATGTAAAACGCAGATTGCTTTTTATTTTCAACATTCTGGTTCTGGACATGCATTCTGAAATCAGTGGCACACTAACATTATCATCGAAACTACAATATGAGCTTTATCTAAATGATTGATGGTATCCCGTAATATCCGGATGATTTAAAATTTGTAAATACTATTTTCGTATAAACCTTATTAGGGGCCATCCATAAATTACGTCACACGTTTAGGTCGATGAACTGTGACATTAGAACAATATTTAGTAGAATTTGTATAGACAAACATGTGACAGGAGGGGGGAGGGGGGGAGGGGAAAATCATGAATAGATAGTTACAAATTTTGGCAAAAATCCTGCTCAGCTTTGGTTCCACTTCGTCTTCTTTTGTCGCAATCTGAAAAGAACATAATGTTAATGGTATAGAGGTTCATCATTATCGGTGCGCCAGTTTTTTTTATTTACAGCAGTAAGTCCGTGAGTTACACCGTCTATGCATACTAGTCATATTTTCCAGCTTCTTCAGTTTCAATGCGATATTGCAACTAAAAATATTGAAAACACGATTATAAACTACTCTACTGCACTATGTTACGTTACATGTTAAACGCCCATTGTACTAAACTTAATACAGCAGCACTTGAAACACTTTATGAATTTTCTTTTCTAGGTATTTTTCAAACGAACAGTATTATTGAGTAAAAAATATATCTTTTTAATATATTTCAATGTTAATTCTTATACAATATGATAAATAAATACTCACCGACATATATAAAAAAAACACTGGCACAAAATGCTCACTACCCTTAGATTATTTAGTAATTATATCTTGATTTTGCTATATACGTACTACATGACTTTCGATTGTTAGTTGAAAGGGATATATATATATATATATGTTTTTTCAACAAATAATCCACTTCAAACTATAAATAAATGAGAAATAATACTTATATTGAAAGCAGTTTCAATATTCAAGAAACTGCTATTGAAGTCGGGCGTAGGTTTTTGACTTCAATAGTAGTTTCTTGAATAATTAAACTGCTTTTAAGGTAAATATTATTATTGTTATTGCTTAAAGTACATTAGTAAATATAGGATCATTTACTAATGTATGTGAAATTATATTTTCATGGATATTACGACTAATATTTGTATTTATCCCCGATGGAAGCCTCGGTCGTAATTGGTAAATGACGCAAGATGTTATTTAGCAATATAGACAGTATATCTACTAAGTCGACCGTTGACATTAAGTAATTCCATCACTGAAATATTTTCACCTGATGAAATATCGGATAAGTCAGTCTTTAAGTTCACGAAAGCTCATTGCAACACCAGTATAATATAAGCTTACTAAACTAAAACAAAGTTCTGTCGGTACCTATGTAGAATATTCCAATTAAGTGCCTTTGATTACCACTCATTCGTAAATAGCCATTCCGATGGATACAAATAATGTAATAATAAGGGAAAACAGAGACAATAATCAATGATTTGGAAGATCGAAATGTATTCATGTATAATTAATTTTCAAAATAAATGTCTAAAATGAATAGAAATTTAAATTGTACATAAAGTCTTTCATTGCCAAACGTATATAATATGGCAATAGTTAAGCAAACTAGCCGGTGATTTCTGTATATTTTCTAATTAAAAATTATGACTGGCGTTTTAATTAAACAATAGAAAGCATTTACTTTCACGTCTTGACTCTGCTTCGCCCCAATGGAGGCTATGTAAACATTTCGTTCAAGAGTTTTCCTTTGACCAAATTTCTTAGCAAATATCAATATAAGACTTTGATATTTGTGCCAAATACGAACTTAATAACTTTTGTGCTAAGAATGGGGTTTATTTAATAATTAAGTCTTATCAATTTTGCATTCACAATACTATACTGATAAATATATTTCATGATTAAAAAATCTCGGCGTTTTTCATTAAAGATGGTTTATTGAATTCGTCTATTACAACCTATCTCAGTACATAACCGACTTGAAACACGAAAAGGAGGTTATACCTATGTTCGACGGCAATGTACGTTTTTTATGTATTTTCACCGATTATTCCGCCAATTGTAGATCGATTTTCAAATTTTTTTTATTCGATAGCTTAATGGACTGAAGTTGTCCCTTTAAAATTTTATCGAAATCGAATCAGTAATTTTCCTTTTACAACAAAAGGAAATACGCTTTTCATCAGCTAAAAAACAAAAAATTGTGTATTTTGCATTCATTCAAAATTCGTAAGGACGCCTTTCTATGATCAACGAGAATTATCAATAATATACTTTTTATATTTTTTTGTAAAAATACTCTTTGTTGATTTTGTATTAATTTTTAAATATATTTTAGACAACATCTCATATCCCAAGATGAGTACCTAAAGCCCCCGTATTATGGAGTTTCTGAGACAACGAAAATACCACAACACCCAAACCTCATTGATAGCATCACATTGCAACTAGCATGCGAACCACTCACAACGCCGGCAACGGAGTTTTTCCCGCGACTTCGCCTACCTAAATAATAGCTTATGTCCTCCCCCCCCCCGCCTATTATGTAGCTTTCCGTAGATGAAAGACTTTTATAATCGGTCCAATAGTTTCGGAGTCTATCCAATGCAAAAAAAATAACAAGCAATCAAGTCTTCTCTTTATAATATGAATATCAAGTTTAATAGATATTAAATTTTTATGTAGATATTTAATATTTTTAGTGTTACCTGTTATATAAAAAATATCAATATTACTAAAAAACATTTTTTTTTTGTTTGTAAATACCTTTTACTAACCAACCTACGGGAATAAATAAACAAAATGGCTTAAAACGTGACTTTAGTAAGATGTGTAAATAAACTTAACGAAATACTTTTATCATCAAACGAAACCAAAGAATTTGTCTCGAGAGCTGAGAAAATAAATCGTAGGGTACTATTTATAAAGAGCCTACTTAAAATTGAATGGCAGGGAAGAGCTGAGATAGATCAGTCTTCCATAATTTATAGCCTAACGTTGAAAATTCAATTTGTATTTTTCTGACACATTTTCGAACATAATGAGCTTAGCATGGGAATAAACTTAGCGTTACTGAGTGAAATAACTAGAAACATAAATAAACTACGCACTTAAAATTTTCCCTATGAAATTATTTCTGTTGGTATGATTTTATGTTATTATGGTCATATTGTTTTTTTTATGGCATTCATCATTACGCTTGTAGGAACACCAGAGGGTCATGATATTGACCCTCTGGTGTTCCTACAAGTGTTTCCTACAGATGAAAATACATGAGATAAACGGATCGTAGATTTTTTGTCTGCATAACTTTCGATTAAGTTATTTGCTCAACTAAAACTCAAACCCTTGACTTTGAAAAATTTAACAAAAGTAAACAAAATCCTAAAATGAATATGTAATCATTGCGAAGAAATATATAGTAGGTACGACTTCCGCGCGGTCCCCAGGTAACTTCTTATTTGGATATCGATTCATATCATGACATGAATATAATTACTATGACATATTGATTAATAACTACGGTTACTAGTAATTATTTCATTCCCTATACAACTTCCATTAAATTTTTTTGTGCTTGTTTCATAATCAGATTTAATATCTGATAACGTGAAATATTTTAAAATATGAGATAATAATAGTCAAGTAATATTTTATTAAATTATACATTTTCATATACCACTTTTGTTTATTATGACCTAGAAAATTAGGTATTGACAAAACAGCTTTACAGTAGTTACAGTTTTTTTTTTACTTTGGATACGCATTTTTTGATGATATTTCATACAATAAGGCAATATGAAAATAGTCGAGATGACGAGTCGGTCAGTCATTCTTCATCGGTTCAAATAATTTCCACATCGCCTAGATTAATTTTTAATTGGCAAAGTTATATTTTTTTGTTAATTTTTAATAGTTCTTCTTTTCTTACACAGATGAACCGACATTCGTCGGAGACGGCACAAACATCACAGTGGTTGAAGGACGAGACGCAACGCTTACTTGTAAAGTAGAGAATTTACACAATTACAAGGTAAAACATATTATTTTATAAGTATCTGCTTGTTACTATATATTATAACAGAGAGAGAAGCTCTTACTATGAGCTCTTTAACGCGATGTAATTATCAAAACTAACGATCACAGCAGCAGATCGAAATGAGATGATGATATATATAATGTTTCACTTAACCAGCTTTAAAATAATCGTTAAAGTAAATAGAAGTTTTTGACACAGCTATCGCTCAGGGACAGATCTACTTAAGAGGTTGACGGGCTTAAGCCCAGGGCCCTGGCTCACGACCCCTAATAAAAACAATTTAAGAAACTATACTTTTTCATTAGATACTATTCAAAAGAGTTTCTAAAAAAATGGGCCCCCCTCAGTTGTATTAGCCCAGGGCCTAAAATGATATGAAATAGGATTATTAAAGAACTGCTGCATCTACGAGATACTTATTGATCTTATAGTCGGATTCGTTATAAAGTTTAAACCTTTAATACCTAATCTTAATAATATTCGACCTTAGAAAAAGATAGTCTTAAGTTAAACAAGAACTGTAATGCAATTTCCATAATTAACATATAAGAAAGTTTTAAGGCGTTGAAGTTTTAACCCGTAGCTATTTGTAATAAACTGAAGTATAAAAAACTAGATCTTTAACAAAATCAGATGAAAGTTAAAGGAATGATGTTCAAAAAGCATAACATAATCAACGATATTTATTTATAGTTTCGCATGTAGAATGAAGAAATTTTTCAATATGCATTGTTAAAATGATCATACCTTTTGAACTCATGAAACATTCACGAATATAATATTAGTAAACTAACAGTGATTTAGTTCCCATAAAATAGATAATATTTTAGCGCAAAGTAATTAGTTGATTTCGAATTAAGCAACATTTCAAGGAATCTATCTCTTTCTCGTTCTGAAATTTAGAAAATTTAATTTTTCTCGCATTTCGCAAATCATTTACATGATTTAAAAGTTAAAACGCCCTTTAACTTTGTTTGACAGGTAACATATTTTTACTTCCGATTATTTCACGTTGAAGGTAACCACAATTTGTCTATTTACGCTTCCCCATTAGCAAGACTAATAGTTTCCATAATTCATTTCCCATAGTAATGTGTTTCCATTCGTGTCGTAACGCCCGTCCATAGAAAAGGTTCACCCTGTGTGCCACACTCGTAAATATTAAGCCAGAGTTGGCACATTTGTCCCTTAGAAGAGCAATTATGAAGGTAAAGTTACTCCATTTAGGGCATCAGGCTCTTCTAAAATATCCCATTGCTCACAGCCAATTTCTCTCTATGGGCGCACACGGAGGAGTTAAACTGGAAAGAAAAAGCATGTTTTATAATAACGAAAATTTTAAACTTCTATCTTCTTCATTTACTACATCTATCCCTATAAAGATTATTTTACAGATAGGATTTTACATCACATATATTGCTCAAATACTCAAATCAACTTAGATAATTAGTTAAAGCTCCCGAATTATAGAGTATCTGATACAACGAAGGTAACATTACACACGGACCCAAGACAGTATAGAAAAGATTGACCTCAGAGATGGTCACCTTGAAACTGGCGTATGAAAACTCAGTCACAGAGGTCGTCAAATTAACTCTCAATCAAATTTGTGGACGAATAAAACGATCTCCTTACTACTGAACGTTTAGTTTCACATCGCTGGTGTTGGAAGCTTGGGCAATAACTCTAGGGCCCCGATTCTGCAAAATATCAATCATTCTAGAGACATCAACGTGAAATTGAGATTTTCACGAATCGCGGTCTTATGCACGAATGAATCGATAGGTTTCTTTGTGTGGCGAATTTAATGTATTTTCAGAAGTTAGAAAATGAGAACGTATAGAATTCGATTGGAAATAATGACTTAATGGATTCTTAGAGTAATAATGTTATATTTTTATATTATTCGCTTTAAAGGATTTTATATAAGTAACTTATGACAGCATATTGACTGTCAGGGGTCGCTTTAATAACACAAGCTTATAATATCTGTGAAATACTGGAAAATAAAAGTATAATTCAGCATTACAAATAGATAGAGGGTCAAGGAAGGGTCGGTCAAGTGCTCAAAACAACAAAACAATTGAGTCGGACTCAAAACAACAAAACAAAAATACTTTTTTTTGTTATAATATCTGTTGTTATAGTGGTAACAGAAGAGGGTACATCATCTATAAAAATGAGTTTTTACCCTTGGGTACGGAACCCTATATATGGATAGGAAAACAAAACTGACATACTACATAATATACATTTACATATACATAATATAATGTTTTAAGATTCTAATCACTATACCTGGTAATGATAAAGTTCTCACATTTTACAGAACATTTCAAACATATGAATAAACCAAAATATTGGACCTAAAAATGTTTTATGCTCTACCTACCTCCGTTTTCATGAAACATCTCGTTCGTCGAGCGGTCTAGCAAACGGAAGAGTTTTATTCACAAAGCTCCCCAGTTCTTTGTGGTCTGGAAACTGATTTGCACTGGCCATTGTGGGAGCTCATTGTGCCGAGAGGACGACGACAAACGCTAATCGTTCACTTCTTATAAAACGTTTGATGAATTAATTAAATCGTTTAGGCCAATACGCCCTTTGAAGTTTTGAGACTATAAGCTAGGTCTGACATAATAAATATTTGAATGCAATCTTTTCATTAAAGATATGATGAGTAAATGAGTTATTTAACGTCTTTCTTTTTAACCAACTTCAAAATCGAAATGAAGGAGATTATATGTTTGAAAGTGATGTTTTATATATGTTTACCGATTTTCCCACGAATTGTAGACCGATTTTCAAAATTATTTTTTTATTCGACAGCTTAATGGCCCAAGGTGGTGGTTGAAATTTTATCGAAATCAAATAGAAGTTTTCTTTTTATAACAAAACAAGATATGATTTTCATCAGATATCACTTATTAACATAGATGACATGTTTGTATTTATTCAAATTCGGAAAGGAGGATGGCAATGTTTTAATTACTACTACCTCTATCTCCGAGACCTCGTCTGAGTTAATCATAGCTTATGTCTCTCGTTTAAAAAGTAGCTTCCTGTAGATGAAAGAAAATAATACATAAATAAATATGTCAAGAAAACTAACAAATTCCTTTCCTAAGACTTACATTATGTTGACATACTATACATAGATATTTTATTGTAAGTGTTACCTATTATCTTTAAAAAATATATCAATATTACTATAAAACATGATATAATTTTTTTTTTTCAAAAAGTCGGGCGGAGTTTTACTGTAGGTTATTTATTAAATGATAGCCTCTCGACTTCGTTAACAGTTTCTTGAATAAGTCGCTTTTGAGATACGTATTTTTTCTCACTTTTTAAAGGTTGCAGTCGGTTCTATATTTTAAAAACATTTTTTATAATTATTTGACGTTCTAGTTTCTCCAAGTTTCTTTATCAATGATAAAAATATTAAAAAAATCGTTTGATTTACAGAATCATTATGATTTTAAATAGATTTTAATTTCTGTGTGGTTTACACAAAAATTGCCACAGAAAATACCTAGATGTTACACCTACCATATTTTTTAAGCAATTTTAATAATATCAGAGTTACCTTTTTACTCATATATATTTAAAATTTATTTTTTATGTTAACATTAAAAAAAATACGTTTTGAATTAAGACATCAAAAAGCAACATAATGTCCATCAAAATATCTGTTTAAATTTCATTATTGTTGATTTATGTTATCTGTGTGCGCAGCAACAATATTTTACGAGGGATTCGATGAAACCTCGCCAAGTTATGACCGAATGAGCCCGTTCAATATTGTTGTTAAATAAGGTGAATTGGAAATCCGAAGCACATATATTTTTTAATCCAGAACTATAAAGTAAAAGTTGCATTGTCCATACGTATTTAAGATGTGTCAAGTCATCATAATCAGCCTATTAATGAACATTAATTAATATTTATTAATGAACACGAACACAGAGAGATTGGGCCAATACCAGGAATCCTCGATAGTACGGATTGGTGAGATAAGGTATGACATGCCTACCGTAGCATGAGATAATAAATGTCCTGTCACCTATCATGTGACTAGACTTTGAAAAAGTTGTTATTATCGCCCTAAAAACTATATAAATATCCTATGTCCTTTTCTAAGATCCACTCTATCTGCGTATCGAAGTTCATTAAAATTGGTTCAGTATTTTGGGTATGAAAACGTAACCGACACACGCACGCACATATACACACAGCACAATACCCTCACACACACACACACACACACATACACACACACACACACACACACACACACACACACACACACACACACACACACACAAAGAGATATAGACTTACTTTCTCATTTATAATATCGATTGACAAAAGTATAATTTGAAAACAATACCAAATTAATAGAGTTAAAAATTCAACTTCATACCAATACTACGTATATTCTACTTATGCATTTTAAAAACGCCATAAAAGCTAATCTGCTCTTTATCTCCACGTACGGCGTAAGTGTACTTTTCTTCGTGAAATCATAAATAATCCTAAGCCATAACCCGTAAAGGGAGTATGACCGTATTTTCTGCTCATTTTTCCCAGCTATTTACAATTGCCGGCTCCTGAGAATATGTGTACTTTTCCGAGAACTCGCGAAATGATTGATTAATGTAACCCTTATCGCGAATATTGCGGAATTATATGAATTCCTACCACATTACTCGAGTCGATGCTGTTAAGTTATTATATAGGTAAACGCTGTTATAACTTGAAAAAACAATAGATTACAGATTATAAGATTAAGAATGACAGACACTTGTAATTTGCAAGTGTGATGTTTTGTGAAAAACGTTTAATAGATTTATTATTTTCGATCTTTACAGTAAAAGTACTTAAATAATTATATTAAATTATAGATTATACATGAAGCCGCCATGTACGGTAACATAAATGTAATGTTTTGTAGAACATTTTCATATACACAACGACTACCGAATCTCAATTCGTTACTAACACAAGTGTCTAAACTGTAAATATTTTCAGACTACAAAGATTGCAGTATTGACAAGTTTTAAGTCTGGAATTGTTACAGAAACCTACGTTTTATATACTAGCTGCCCGCGTAAAATACGGGCTATATTAATCTCGGATGATGTAGCCTTAGGTGCAATTAGGTGAATTTTCAAAATAATTTTCAAAATATATATATATAAAGGAAAGTTTTGATTATTAATGTGGCATCGAATAGGTTCCGAAACTTTTAGACTTATTTTGAAAATTCACCTAACAAAACAAAATATATATATATAATAAACGTATGAATTGTAAACTTATTGATGTCAATAAAAGAAAAAAAGAAACAAAAGAATGAGACAGTAATATTACAACACTGTCATCAATCATTATTTTCTTGTTAGCTCAATAGAGATTGCTCAATAAGATAAACTCCTGAGGAATTTGATATTGACAAAATTTCTAATGAGAGGAGGAATGTGTTCCATAACTTAGTAGTGGAGTTACTAAAACAACCATGGAAAGCAGCTCTTCGATAGGAAAACATTAAACAGTTGCCAAATCGAGATGGCCGTTCAGTAAATTATTACTTCTTAATTAAATACAGCCGACTTTGCGTAATTCCAAAAAGTAAGCTTGGGAAATATTATTTTCTTCGGTATTTTATATTTTATAATTTGTTGTTATTCAATTATGGTGTTATAGGAGTCCCGTGTGGTATCTGGTATATGAACCTGGCTCATTAGTTTTGAACTCACAAAATAACTTTTTTAAGTTCTCTCCAGTAAGCATTTACCGAATAAGTCAACTTAGACAAAATCAGCGAATCGCATATACAGATATGCACATCTACACTTATGCGATAATTAACATTGTTTAACAGGCACAGACCTTGATAAATTTCTCTAAGGGCCATTTTTGGGTCCTTAAGTTTAAAAGATCTGTATATCAGTAATAATCGCAAAGTTTAATAGGCGTAGGCGAGTTACGCTGTATAAAATAAAAAGCATTGGTCTCAAAATCGTACCTTGCGAAACTACTCTAATATTTTAAAAGTAACATATACCGTAAGGAAAGATAAGTAGGGAAGTTAATTTTACATTTTATGTTTACAAGGAATATTTTTTTCTAGGTGGCATGGCTACGAGTGGACACTCAGACAATACTTACTATCGGTCCCCATGTGATAACAAAGAATCATCGCGTGTCGGTGACCCGCGGAGATCCCAGAGCTTGGGCGCTGACGCTGCGAGATGCAAGGCTCGCTGACGGTGGCTATTACATGTGCCAAATTAACACGGAGCCTATGATAACGCAAACTCATCATCTGCAGGTTTTTGGTGCGTCTAAAGTATTAAGTTTATTTATCATCAGAAACATATCTATAGGTTGTGTGCGCAGTGGTTAATGCATTTGGTCTGCAATCAACTTTTCCTAAAGCATATCAAACTGTACGTACTATACTGTGCGTATCTGTTAATTGTTTTGTTTGTAGTGTAATGTGTTGATAAAGTCTATCCTATGTTATATTCCATTCCATTACGTTCATTTCTATTCCATTGTATTATATTCTAAAAAAAGTATAATTCCTTGTTGCTTGTATGCAATGCATGTTAGGTTAAGTTAACCCGGGCTATGCATGGCCCATTCCTCTTTTTTTATTTCTTTCCATAAAAAGAAAGCCCTATGTCCCAGCAGTGGGGACATTAATGATGATAACGAATACTCCAACAAATTTTAATGTGTTTGACCACACAGTATCTATATTGTTAATATAATTGTGTATTTTGTATTAAAATTAAGTAAATGAAATATATACAAGCCAATTACGTAAAGTAGTCTTGTTCTATGTATTCTTTTCAAATGTTTTTTTTTTTAAAATAAAATCTAGTTATCCGTGAATTATTTAATGTTTAGAAATAATTTACTATCTAGTGATAAAATAAAGTTTTTTTTAAATGTGACTCAAAACCACAAACAGAAAGTAATCAATATTACCAAGGAACAGTATTAGTAGGTAAAAAATCGTATCGTAGGTAACGAATCATGTTTAGAACTATTTATATCAGAGAGCACTCCATCTTAGAACAGGTAATATTATCGTTTATACGTAAAAGCGACAGCAACACGAGGAGTTCGATGACGCAATAATTAGAGCGCTCGGTCTGCCATGCAGAAGTTAAACAACTTCGCAAAGGCAGGTCATACGATGGGTGACCAATTATTTCGAAAGGCTCGTTAAGCAGTTAGTCCTGGCTACATCTGCAGTTGTCAATATCCATCAGTTCATAGGAGTCATGACCCCTTTTCTCTAATCGATTCTATCCACAAAGAAAGACTATGACTAGACATTAAAAAGGCAGGTGATGTAATACGTAACAGTTTCTTTCATTCAGTTCAATGTCTTCAATTCAGTTCCACCAGATATAGTGGACTCAAACAGCAGCAGCGAGGTGATGGTACGAGAAGGCGATAATGTATCACTACATTGTGCCGCTTCTGGGACTCCACACCCCACCATAGGCTGGAGGCGTGAAGACTTAGCCAATATACGAGTAGGCTTAAAAAATGGTAAGTATACCAATTGCATATTTTCTACAAGAAAATAGAGATTACTTAACCCTATACACGTGGTCTTGTACCTGTTATATCCATACAAAATATACTATTTCTAGTGCTATCATAATGGTTTTTTGCAAAAATTATATAAGAACAAAACTTTCATAATTATCAAATTTTCGAATGTTTAAAAAACGTCTTGTGCTTTTATAAAAATTAAAAGTGTACGTAGCCGTAGTCTTGGGTATAACTATCTGTATCTATATGTATCATATTCATTTAAAATTAATTGTTTTCTTTTCAATTTATATATTTCATCAAACATTTTTTCATGTTCTTCTTTTCGAAATAGCATTGTTTGTATTAATTCGACATTTTATAAATTTCGTTTAACTTCAATAATTTAGTAAAAAAACAACCAAAAACATTGAATAAACATATAAATAATATAAAACGATTAATTTTAAAACAATATCAACAGATTCATGTGAAAGACCTATTATAAAGCGTAGGTTATAATTACAACTACGGTTACGTCTATGAGTTAGGCGGGCGCGCCACAGATATTATATTAGGTTGGGGAAAGTTTTTCCGCATATAGTATGCATAAATTTGTAATAAAATCTTTCTAGCCATACCATTTGCATCTGGCTGGTTTTGGTTTACCAATTTAAAAAGGTTAAATTTTAAAGAAGATAACTCTTAATTAAAATTAGGAAGATGTGTGATTTTTATTTATTTTTCTTACTGACATAATGAGTGAATCTAATGAAGAAATTCGATCTTTTAAAATTTTATTACAAAAAGGTAAAAATTCAACGCAAGCCGCGGAAAATATGACGTTTATGTATCTTAAGCGTTTTCAGTCCGGAAATTTTGATGTCAAAGGTGCACGTTGCTCCGATTATTACGGATAAAATGGATGCCATTTTTGAAAAAGTAAAGATCAGCATATCAGTAGTTACGATGTATCTGATACACAAAAACCCACAAAAAAGTTGGATATTTAGATACCTCACGAGCTAACTGAAAGAAACCTAATGAACCGTATACTCGTTCGTGACAAAAACGAAAAATGGTTCGGTGAATCACATACGCAGAGAAAGTGCAAAAAAGGTCGTGGTCAAAGGTCGGTCAGACTTCACAGACTGTGGCAAAACCCGGGTTAACTCGCAACAAGGTGATACAGCATCATCAAGTGTATAGTGGGATTGGAAGGATATTATTTATTATGAGCTGTTACCGCATGGCAGGACCATCGATTCTGATCGCTACTGCGAACAACTGATGAGATTAAAGCAAGAAGTTGAGGGAAAGAGGCCAAACTTAATCAATACAAGGGGTGTGACTTTTCATCGTGATAACGCAAGACCTCACACATCTTTTACCATTCAGCAAAAATTAAGAGAGTTACTGACCTTGCACATTCAGATTTCCACCTGTTTCGGTTTCTTCAGGATTTTTACTCCGTGTCAGGTTAACATCACGCGAGGACTTCCAAAACCACTTGTCGCGGTTTTTTGATCAGAAGCCTACAAGGTGGCAAAAAATTATCGAACAAAATGGTACCTATATACATTAGTTAAATGTAAATAAACTTTATTAAAAAATATTTTGGTATTTTCATATAAAATACGAAGAAACTTTTTCCCCAACCTATTAAGTACAAAAATCAACTACAGCCACTTATAAATTTATCCCACTGAATCTCTACTTTTTATTTTTTTGCATATGTACTCGTTTTCTTATACTCAGGCATAGCATAATCCGTATATTGCAAACAGCATAGCTATGGCGGCATCTAATACAAATTAAAAGATTAATTAATTCTACAGATCAAGAATCTAAAGTTTGTAATCCTCCTTGACCGAGTGGGTAACACTAAAAAAGTGTCGCCATTTCTGATGTCCCATGTTCAATCCCGGTCAGATCAATCTAAAAAAAACAAGTTTTCGAAAAATCTTTCGTATAAAATGAACAAATCGGGTTATTTCAGATTTCCTTACATGAAAGAATGTACCTTAAAGTGTACCTTCGTTATTTGAAATTTACTTAATAAAAAGGGTTTACTACTTAGTTTGATCTTAAATTCATATTTGTAATGTTCTATGACCATTTCTGTACTTTATAAGTAGTGTTATTAAAATATACACTAAAATATGACAAGTTAATGAAACATGGATAGGATATAATAATTGTTCATTTTAATGATTAATTACCTTTGAATTCATGTCAACCGTGGGTTTCATAGCACAAGCGAACGGAAATTGAAGTTGTCAACGTTGATCCTTTTAAGACTCTGAAAAACACTGTAGCATAGTCGTTATAAATGTGCTAATTAAGTATTGTTATATTAAAAGAAGTTATTATAAGTTACATGTTCCATTATTTACCTTAAATAGTCGTGATATTATTAAATTCCTAAGGTTGTAACTACAGGTATTTCTTTACCAACTTGAAAATGAAAACAGTTTCATATTTCTTAAATCTGAATTCTTTAATTTATATAATGGAAACTCTAAATAAGAGATCGGATTCCGAAATATTTTTTTGTTTTATGAATATCTGAAATGTTTTGTTTTCAGATATTCATAACTCTCCTACCTACCTCTATTACCAGGTAGATTCGTCTGATATTTCGGATGAGGTTCGGAATCCCAAGAAAAAAGAAAATATCCCGAAAATGTAAATAATTAAATTAATCCATTTCTAGGCTACTCGTCCTAGAGAATATTTTCGTAAAAACGGCGTTTTTTGCTCATCGATATTACCGGGACTTAGAAGATTTTTTTTTTTGTTTTGAAAATTTTTGTCACAAAATCCATACTTTTTGAATTGCCAAGTATAGTTTAGTCTCTGACAACCTTTGTAAAGTTTTTAGAACGCTATTTGCTTAGAATGGAACACATACGAGCGTTAAAGTTAAAGTTTGCAAAATACTAATAATAGGATCGAGCAAACAATGAAGTAATCTAAGTTCAATTAAGTCCCTTAATTGAAACTTAACAGGAAAATTTATTTATTCTAATGTTTCCGTTAGTTTATTATTTCAGTTCCTTTAAGAAAAAAAAAATTATTATTTTGTCTCCACACCTCAGTACAACGTGCTACAAAAATCAAGTTCATTACTATATAAACACTAAGTTTAGTTTGTTTGATTTCCTTTTATTAAAAGAAATTACATAAATTTAACTTTAACAACAGAGTTTTACGTGACTACAAAACGAATAACTAGTTTTTACTTTTACAAGCTTAAATTTACTTCAAAGTAACCTACTTTTTAATTTTTAGAGCATTTAAACGAAAGATTGCGACTTAATGTAATAGAAAGAATGTTGAAAGGTCCTGCGTTTAGGTTTGTCTGTCACTCATAAGCCGGATAATATTTATAGGTATACACATATTTTAGAGAAATGTATGAAGCTCCTTTGAAAACATTATCGAGTTCCAAAGAGATTTTATATAAAGTTCGATAAGGTTTTTATAATAATCATTTTTTTGGCTAAAAGAGACTCTGAAGTATTCAGAAAATTATATATGAACAAATAGTCAAAACTTAAATCTTCGAGTTACCGTGAACCATATCATTATATACGCTACCTTAACTTACGTATTCACTTACTATATACATTTTACTATATATAGAATGTTGTTTTTTAAGATACGCTCCTTAGTCTTTTAAGACGACCAACGAAGATTGATAACTAACATCGGCTTGGTTCGACTCTAAAAGAGGATTTTTGATTTGTTAAACACCTTTCGAGTTAAGTGTTTTGTTTTTTTTTTCAGATAAATTATCATACAATGAAAACATATTAAATTTTATTTCGACTACTATTACAAAACGCTACAATCAACGTAATTCTATTATTAATACTGATAACTTAAGAAAGTTTTTTAAAACAGTCTCTGCTTCGTTATGTCCATAGAACTATAATATTTAAGATAAAGATAATTATAAATATTTAAATAGAAACAAAGATAATATCTTTAAAATAGTAAATTGCTTATGATTCAAAAGACTAAAGAAAATAAACTAAAATACAAATTACATTGTTAAATATTAATTATATGCTTTTTTAATTCAATATGTAATTTTATCTTAAAATAAATTCGAAATTTTATTTCGATGTATCTCAGTCCGTCGTCGTCTCATTAATTATTAAATAAAATTGTGTTAAGTTCCTAGATTAAAATCTAAATAACTAATATCCTCAACTTCGACTATAAATATCGAACAAAATGACAACCAACGAAGTTACCCAAATTTAAGACTTTTCTAACTGTCACTAAGATATTACCAATTTTGATGCAGTAACTAAATGGAGTGGTGCGTGGCTAAACCTGACTGAGGTATCACGAGAGATGAATGGCGCCTTTCTATGCATCGCAACTAACGGAGTTCCACCATCCGTCAGCAAGAGGATACTGTTGCATGTACTTTGTAAGTCAATTGTATAGTTATCAAGTTGTTTTAGAACTATGTGTCAAATAATAAACGCACGTGAATACATATCGTCGGCGTCAGTGCAGGACTTTGTAATTGGAAGTTTCAGTTACAATTTCAAAAGACTATTTTTAAATTGTTCATATCGCGTTTAAGCAGATTTTTATTGTCTCCTATAAAATTTACTTTTTTTTTGGATTTATAGGGTCCTACACTGATACCGACGATATGTGTGTATGATTTATTTAGTGGCTAAAAAAAATCGATACTAATTATTTTTATTTACTCTAACAATTAATATAGGGGTAATAATTTATCATTTACATTTCAGTCATTCATAACTCCATCTTAAATAACATTTGCTGATTGCAGCGGACAACGCGCCATTCTAAATAATCTATAAGATTTGTTGTCTCTCGCAAATTACAAATCATATAATTATCTGCTATTTCCAAAATTTACTCCCCGTTAAATAGTTGATTATATAACTGATTACGTGGATTGGATCCACGTCATGAGATATATAATTAATTATTGCTTAAATGCCATCTTACATTCATAATCCTAAACAAATATTATTTTTACATGGTTCCAACGGCTCCACCGTGTCGTTTGATGACTATGTAAGTCCCTCAGCGGGCTACTATATCAATCCAAACTAATTTATATTGCTATTCCTATCGTAAACACAGGAGATTAAACGTTGTCTGTTGCTTGTTATATGAACATCAAGATTCCGACTGTGTTCTATCTACTCCACCATTTTGCAGGTAAGCCGACAGCTAGGGCCGTTCATAAGATGATAGGTGGGTATCTGGGGGATTCCGCGCTTCTGCTTTGTAACGTCGAGGCACATCCAACGCCTGTTGTGTATTGGATACACACCGACGGCAATAGAATTCATAATGGTGAGTTCATATTAGATCATAATAATTCAATTGAATTTAATGATTGATAGAGTCGCCTTACAAACGCATAAAATAATGTTTATTTATTGTTTTCCTAACGCTTGTTTGTGCTAGTACGTTATACTGTGTATATGTGATTATACTAAGTATTCACGGGCGTCATTCATACATATTTTTTATTTTATTTTTATATACCTTTAATGGACTGTGGACTGTAAATTTATTTGGTGGTTCTTGCATGGAACGTTGACGTGGTGGTAAAATTATGCTTTAGTTTTTGCAACAGTATATTTATGATCTGGCATTGATACGTTTTTACACCTATTAATTGTCAAACTGTTAGTGATTCTAACATAATTTTACATAACGATGTTCAGATTCTATAAAGACGGATGTTAAGATGAACTATCGCTGTTTGTTAAACCTTAGATAGATAGATAAAATTTTTAATTGACTGTGCATCCTTACTGGTTGACTGATTTTTTACATTAAATCTGCTGTAATACCTATACCATAAAGAATAAAAAATTAAATGAAACAGTTGACTGTTGTCAAATAGTCTTATTATTTTATATATGCCATTCTCGTGGGCGACTTTTTCTCAGAATACTTGTACCTAAAAATTAATCTGAGAAAGTAAATTTTGTCGCCACACTTTTCTATTCACCAGCCTTCGTATTGTCTGTCATGCTATCAATTTTCCCATTATTAATTTCTCAACGTATATTATTATCATTCAAAATGTTTATACGTGATATTTGACCTTCGTTTATTTTTGTCACAGCAATCACTAAAGATCAGACAAAATCCAATGAAATACTACTATTATACCTCATGTGGTTAATAACAACTAAATTATTCTATTGTAGGTAAATAATACCATTAGAAATATTTGGAGCAAATATTTTGTATTCGAAAAACATCTATGTATCCAAAAATAACCGTTAGATAAAATATAACTGGTTTAAATTTCTTTATATTTTACATATTCGGTATCAAATTTGTTTAGCTATGTATTTAAGCGCCATTGATTTATAATGTAAAGAGTATTTTAGTTTTCTTTTTTAAACCCACTTTCTGTATCTTTGAAAATAGATAAAACTTTTACTAAACCTAATCTTCAATGAAACCGAATATGTAACTAGATTAAATTATAATAACTATTTTGATATGTGATTAATCAAAACAGTTATCTGGATTATAATTAATTAAGATCACCTTTTGCACTACTCAAAATACTACTACTTTGTTTACTCTACTTTTTGGTTAATGACCACAAACGTGGTTAATTCGTTGAGTTAAGTGTGATTTGATTCACTAAATCGCTTTGCTATTACATTTCCATTATCATAGTTTTAAAATTTAATCACATAAACGCTACATTCACGCGCCTTCAGTCTTTTTAAAAGATATACCTACCTATATAAATCAATATTATTTATAAAACAGAGACCCTGTCATTCTCTTCGATATTTAGACGGCATTTGAATATTATTACGAATTATAACAGATTTAATGTAAAGAGCGTTTCAAAATAAAGTTCAGAAATAAACAATACAAATAATACAATAGTATACGAAACTTCAGCATAACTCGACTGAGAATAATATTTGGAATCCTGGTTATGACTAATAAACAACCAGTCACTTTATTTATTCCCAGAAACGGAATGCCTAAATGGAAATTGCTTGTTCAGAAGTTCATTCTCAATAGTCAATAGACTATTTAACTGTGAAATGGGAATTTCTCGGATAATGTCACGATGAAATAGAATGGTGATTGAATAAATAAGTATCACTAAACTACTGTGGAGCTAGATCGCACGAGACAATAATATCTGTTCTAGTAAATTCAGGTGCGAATATATTTATACGCACAATATATTTTTATTTATTTATATATCTGCAATCGATAACACCCACCGATGTGCAATGGTCACGCGAGGTAAATTATGGTCCACTCTCCCTATTCCACTGCCCCAGCAGTGCGGAAATATAAACTGGTGAAGATAAGTATGTTGCATCTATAAGTAACAAGTGCTTAAGAGAATCGACAATAGGGATGGCGACAAAGTTTTGTTTGTTTACCGTCAGGTAGATTACTGATTTTTATTTTTTTGCGCAATCAATAAATCACGGCGATACATTGACTTGAAATATCGCATGACGTCACGCTTTTCTTATTTTCTACAAAACTGTGACGTGGGGGCTCACACGTCACAGTTTTGTATTATCTGACTGACGGACTAAATATATATATATATATATATATATCTTTTTACCCAGTTGTCATCCCTATTTCAATACAACAAGAAAGTAATCGCCCGCTTGGTTCGAGTTACTTCTCAGGCACCTGAGACTTAGATTTTCAAAGTTTTTTCTGTAAAGTAAATAGGTATGTAGAGTATCTATAATTCTTCCGTTGGGCGCTATTTGTTTTTAAGTTATTCATATTATTAGATATTGTTTCCATTAACTTAGAACAAAGCTTAACTGGGACAACATAACTTAACTAGGAAACGCCTAACTTTACTAATCGCCTAAATAGATTAGATTAGTTTAATTCCATATACACATATTTTCTTTTATCCCTTGATATGTTATCTGTTATATAACTTTAGACATTGCTTAATATCGTCAGGTGGTTCCTAGTCATTGATGAAATGCATTTTCACCCCAAGCGAATTCTAAATATTTAGGCGACTCTTAAGTTTAGTGAATACGGTAATTATAGTTCTTACGTAAGATCATAAAGACCCGCAAAGTTTAGATTATTATGAATCTGACAAATAGCGGTTAAACTTTTTTCTTTGTTCTGTGGTGAAAAGGGTCAGCCAATTCAATTTTTCTTAAATAAAGATGACAGTGAGTCAAAAACTTACCTTGACTTTATAGACGAAAGAAAAAAAACTTAAAATAACCGTTATTAGTATTTAAAGATATATGAGAGCATGATTATCTGTGCATATACAGAATCAAAGTACCAGGCCAGTGTACAATCGCATGGGTACAAACATATAGCAATGCTGCGTATAATCAACGTGTCACGAGATGACATCGGCTCCTACAATTGCCACGTGGAGAATCCCCTGGGCTCCGCAAATGATGATATCACGTTTTACAGTAAGTAAAGGAACTTTACACTTTTTCGTGAGCTAAATAAAATAATCAAATAACTTACAACGAATGATGATTTTTATTAACTATAGGTTATATATTCTTTTTTTTAATAACGCAGTGGAACTGACTCCTTTCATTTTATAAAAGTCACCTATTTGTCACGTATTCAACCTAATTATCATGTGTGCGCGCGCCACGGCACGGATTCGCAGGTACAGACAGAAAGTCACGGTGACAAACAGGGCTCAATAGTTTAATAGAACGACTTTTAAGTCTTTATAAGTTCCATGTTCACTATATATCAACCTGGTTTTGATTAGCTTTCAGGCAAGTTAAATAGTAAGGTTTGTAGGACACAAACCCCTGGCGCCCGTCAAGTGGCAGGGACGGATACAAAAAAAGGGTTCAATATAAACTAGATAAAATGGTGAGCGAGAAAATGTGAAAAACAAGTAATCACTTGATATAAATGACTAATAATAATAAATAAATTTATATCTTTACCAGATATATTTTTACATGTAATGAGCCGCTTTTCCATAGCTAAAGGTCTAAAAAGAATGGTAAAGTTATAAACAATTCAAAATTTACAGACATGGAACGTGTATAACGACGCGGGTGTGTTTGTGTGTGTGTGACTTTTAATTGTTTGATTACATGTTATAATACGCGTATACGCCAACTATAGAATCATTTTATAACCTTTAATAATTTTTCCACATCTTCATAATTTATACCTTTCATTAAAACAGCACTTTAACTTTGCATGGTTGGTAGGTAAGATTAGGATTCGATTGTAAATGAAGTATGAAAGACATAAATAAATTTTAAACGAAATTTGTATTGATGCATTTGGTCATGGCAAGATTACCCTTTCTTCTCTTTATTATATTGGGGTCGTATAGTGTATTTTTTAAGTATTATAACATGGAGTATATACAACTTTTCACAGATAGCAGAACTATCATGGAGTACAATAGTTGAGTTGAAAATTGATTGAGCTAGTGAAAGATATAGGTATTAATTGTTTTTATCACGTTGGCTATTATGTATTTTTATACCATACTGAGGGTCAGGCTTATAATTTGAGCGTAAGTAAGTGTGTTCTGAGCCAATCTGCAATCCTTTATAAACCAGTTTCAGCTTCTACCTTTACATATGCCCAAGAAGAGCCAGTGACATCTGCATATGAAAAAATGTGTTCGAATGAGTAGTCATCAGACTAAATAGCTCATTTATATAATAGAAAGAGGGTTCGACCGAGTACGCTTCCTTGAGAAACTCCATAGATGATGTTAATCCTCTTATTGGAATATTGTCCTATTTTTTTTTTGCATCCTTTCGGTAAGATAGTCCTTTAAAAGTTCTAGATCAATTCCTCTAATACCTATTTTGTCCAATTTTTGCACAAGGTTAAAGATAGCTATCGAAAGCTTTTCTTAAATCTATAAATACTGTGAAGCACTTTTCGCTAGTGTCTAATTTTTCAGTTATTATGGATGTCAAAGCCTCAACAGTATCTACAGTCGATTTTCCAGTTTGAAAGTCATATTGAGAATCTGCTAAATTTTATATTTGTCAAGATAGTCAATCAGTATTTTATTTTATCAGTATTAGTTTCTCGATGATCTTTGATATTGCAGGTAAAACAGAAATCGACCTATAATTACTAATGTCTCTTACATTTCCCCTCTTGTGCACTAGTGTCATCAATGACTCTTTCAGTTTAGTTGGAAATACACCTTTTTTAGAAGCAAAGGTTAGTAAGATGAATAATAATAGGAATCACTAAATCTTTTTCCAGTTTAAGGAAACTCGTTGGTTGCTGCTGTTTGATTTAAGACACATGAGAACTGAAAGAACTTCTTCGGAGTCAGTGTCTAAAAGAACAAAAGTAGAGAATTATGATATACAAAAAGCTGACTGAAATGAGCATGAGTAAGATCCGGCGGAGTAATAGAATATTAGCAAAAGAATCATTTATATAATCAATAGACCCACACGATGTCGGTTTTACTTACAAAAGTTTAGTATAGTCAGACTTAGATTATTATTATAAGGTTGTTATAGTTGATATAGCAATCCAGAAACTCTTCATGTTTCTTTTAGAATAATTTGGCAATTGTTTATCATAGTCGCGTTTTGTTTTTTATCAAATTGTTGCAAAAGTTCATCATCTAAATTTAAACGAATCTTGTTTTGCAAATTATTTCTATGACGGATACATTTTCATATATCTGGTGGTATTGTACCAATTATAATAGTGGTACCAATTATAGAATCATTTTATAACCTTTAATAATTTTTCCACATCTTCATAATTTATACCTTTCATTAAAACAGCACTTTAACTTTGCATGGTTGGTAGGTAAGATTAGGATTCGATTGTAAATGAAGTATGAAAGACATAAATAAATTTTAAACTAAATTTGTATTGATGCATTTGGTCATGGCAAGATTACCCTTTCTTCTCTTTATTATATTGGGGTCGTATAGTGTATTTTTTAAGTATTATAACATGGAGTATATACAACTTTTCACAGATAGCAGAACTATCATGGAGTACAATAGTTGAGTTGAAAATTGATTGAGCTAGTGAAAGATATAGGTATTAATTGTTTTTATCACGTTGGCTATTATGTATTTTTATACCATACTGAGGGTCAGGCTTATAATTTGAGCGTAAGTAAGTGTGTTCTGAGCCAATCTGCAATCCTTTATAAACCAGTTTCAGCTTCTACCTTTACATATCCCCAAGAAGAGCCAGTGACATCTGCATATGAAAAAATGTGTTCGAATGAGTAGTCATCAGACTAAATAGCTCATTTATATAATAGAAAGAGGGTTCGACCGAGTACGCTTCCTTGAGAAACTCCATAGATGATGTTAATCCTCTTATTGGAATATTGTCCTATTTTTTTTTTTGCATCCTTTCGGTAAGATAGTCCTTTAAAAGTTCTAGATCAATTCCTCTAATACCTATTTTGTCCAATTTTTGCACAAGGTTAAAGATAGCTATCGAAAGCTTTTCTTAAATCTATAAATACTGTGAAGCACTTTTCGCTAGTGTCTAATTTTTCAGTTATTATGGATGTCAAAGCCTCAACAGTATCTACAGTCGATTTTCCAGTTTGAAAGTCATATTGAGAATCTGCTAAATTTTATATTTGTCAAGATAGTCAATCAGTATTTTATTTTATCAGTATTAGTTTCTCGATGATCTTTGATATTGCAGGTAAAACAGAAATCGGCCTATAATTACTAATGTCTCTTACATTTCCCCTCTTGTGCACTGGTGTCATCAATGACTCTTTCAGTTTAGTTGGAAATACACCTTTTTTAGAAGCAAAGGTTAGTAAGATGAATAATAATAGGAATCACTAAATCTTTTTCCAGTTTAAGGAAACTCGTTGGTTGCTGCTGTTTGATTTAAGACACATGAGAACTGAAAGAACTTCTTCGGAGTCAGTGTCTAAAAGAACAAAAGTAGAGAATTATGATATACAAAAAGCTGACTGAAATGAGCATGAGTAAGATCCGGCGGAGTAATAGAATATTAGCAAAAGAATCATTTATATAATCAATAGACCCACACGATGTCGGTTTTACTTACAAAAGTTTAGTATAGTCAGACTTATAGCGCGATGTTCGGTTGCGAACCCCCCATCGTCGTTCCGCGCGCCTCTTCCAAGAAGGCGCCGGTTGCCGGCACGCCTGCGCGCGTGAGATGATGCAATCTGCGCGCCATCGTGACACTAGTTAGTTGCGCGCCACGAGAGTTTGAGGCTGGACGTTGTATCGCGCTGTTCGCGCGACGCCAGTCGATTCGCGGACTCATTTAGTTTATCATATAATATATTGTAATATTAAAATCCTACGACGATAATTAAACGCACGGTTAAAATGAAGAGTACTTGTTTAATTGAACTGGCATTCATCGTCCTATAAGTGGCGTCCCAACGTGCGGCCATGTTCTAGTCTTTTCTCGTCATACCTAAATAGTTTTAATGCTCAATCGTGTGTTTAATAGACTAACTACGTCGTATTATATAGTGTTAAGTGACAATTATAGTACAAGTGACAATAATTAGTGCATAAGGCAAAGGGACACTTTATGCAACTGTTAGGTATAGTTAAGAGTATTATACGTTCTGACGATTTCTTTTACGAGACATTTATTTCGGTGAAGTGTTTTATCAAAGACTAAAACCTAACTAATGTGTAATAAACATTGCTTTGATAGTACGAATATTATATTTGTTGTTTTATGCATAATTGTTACTATTCATACGTATTTAACTGCCTACGTAGCGTTAAAAGACTATTCAACGAACATTTTGGTTTTTTGGTAATGTTAAGAACTGACCTTGCACATACTGTGTGTTCGGATTAGTGCTTTATATGGACAATGGTGCTAACGCGGTCACGTGCAAATAGTGCTACGCGTAACACAGGACAGATAGAAATGTCTTCTGCCGCCGGAGAGCAGACTGACGGCGCAGAACTATCGTCGTCAGTTGGACGTCGCAATTTCGTTGATGAACGATCGTCGACGCCGCCGCTGGCAGGACGCCCTGCGTCCGCCGGTGCCCCGACTCCACCTCCACAGCAGTACGGGCGTGAGCCGCCCGACTTTCTTCACGCGCCGCCGTTGTACGGGCAGGCTCCGCCCGTCGCCTCAATATATCCACCAACGTCCACACCGGTTATGATGTCAAATGAACAACTGGTATTTCTATTGCAATCTTTACGGGTAGCGCCGCCTGTGCAAGGCGCGCCGCCGCTGTTGCCGACAATGACTGTAAGTGCGAACCTTTCTAATTGTTCAGCAAGATATGACGGTTCTGGTGATGTTATTGCTTTTATCGATTCTGTGCAAATTTATAAAGACTGTGTACACGTTAGTGACGATATGGCGTTAAGAGGACTACCAATGCTCCTTACTGGTTTCGCTGCTACCTGGTGGCAAGGTGTTAGACACTCTGTGTACGCTTGGGATGAGGCACTTAACCTGTTGCGTCAAACATTTGGTCCACGTCTGCCACGTCCGAGGATTTACAGAGAAATCTTTAGTAGAGAGCAGGGAGACGAACGGACAGACGTCTTTGTGTGTCGTGTTAGGGCACTGATGTCACAGTTACCACCAAACACGTTGACGGAAGATACGCAGCTGGATATGGTATACGGATTATTGCATAGGAGAATCAGAGAAAGAGTAGCACGAGATTCATGCACATCCTTTCAACTGCTGCTCCAATTGGCACGAGCTGCCGAAGACGTGCTGGAAGAAGGACGTGCTACTACTGCCGCTCCCGCCAAAAGACCTTCGACACCCACAGCTCCGCCAATAAGAGATACGACAACTAAAACAGTGATGCCTGCGCAGAAGCCAGGAAGGCCAAGGTGTACATTTTGTAAAATGTTTGGACACACCAAGGACACCTGTAGGAAATTGATCGCTAGAAACATAACGCCAGAAAGCGTTAAAGAAGAGCCAGTACAGTCACCATCATCGGAGCCTCGACCGTCTCTGGCATGTTTTGGATGTGGACAACCTGGAGTAACAAGGTCGAATTGTGAAGCCTGCAAAGGCAGGCGTGCTACACCAACGAACACCTCGAGTTTCCAGTCGGTATCAGCCTGTGCGTTCGAACCGCGTGTGCGACCTATATTTGACATAGAAGTATTCGGTACAATGGGAACGGCGTTGTTAGACACGGGTGCGAAACAATCTGTAGCCAGTGAAAGTTTAACGAAACATTTACGAAATAACGGACAATTTTTCGAAAACGTTACTACCGAATTAAAATTCGCGGACGGTTCACATCGCGTACAGACGATAGAAACTGCGTCAGTATTTGTTAAGGTGCACGGAGTGACGATTAAAACTCTCTTTATGGTTCTACCCGAAGCCACGGAGTCTTTGTTAGGCATGAATTTTATCCGTGATGCGGGCCTGGCAATCGATTTTGTTAATGACCAGT